TAAGAACCCGGGTACAGAAGACAGAAATAGTCAGCCTCATCCTCAGGCTGGGCCCCCGTGATGGTGAGGATGGCTTTGTTCCCAGAGATGGATCCAGAGAAGCGCGCAGGGACCCCAGAGGGCCGGCTGTTTGTGCTGTAGATGAGCATGCGGGGAGCCTTGCCTGGGGTCTGCTGGTACCAGCTGGGGTAGTTACTACTAGAGACTGACCCAGAACTAAGGCCACAGGTGAGTGTGACTGTCCCTCCTGGAGTCACAGACAGTGCTCGCTCCTGGGTCACCACAGTCTGAGAATCCACACCTAAAACCAACAGAAAAAATATAGGTGTGGTCATGGGTTACTAGGTTTCCCCAAGACCCTGCTTTGCTGTGTCCCCCAAGAATGCAGAGTCCCTTCCTCTGACCTGAGCTGTAAGTGAGGACACCGAGCAGGAGCACAGTCCAGGCCATGGTGGGGACACTCACAGGACACCGCCTCCTCAGGCTCCTGGGCTGGAGGGTGGTGTCCTGGGGCCTTTTCATGCCTCCCAGACCCACTAGGAGGAGCATGTGCTTCATGCAAATCAGCTTCCTCTGTCTTGTCCTGCCCCAGTGTCATCCTGATGTCCCCTGGGGAGATGTGGAAAGAGACACATGCTGCTGCCTCACAACACCAGTGACTTTGCTCTGTCTAAGGCCTTGAGTGCGGAGTGTTGACCTCTGTCACCGAATCAGTTCCCCCACATCCCTGGTGGCCTTAAAGCTAAGTCTTTGTGAATTATCTGTCACCTGCACGATGAGATGACTGTGTTTACCTCTGGCCCCAGCGATCTAGTTCATCTCAAATCTCACTGCGCTTCTTAGATTAGAACATTTCTTTCTTCTTCAGTGAAAACCATTCTTGTCTTATTAGCAGACACTGCCTCCTCCTACAGGGAGTCTTCTGGGAAACCAGAGTTTGCATGTGGGGAGTGGAGGAACGGGGTCTCCCCTCACTGAGCTCTGACCCACCAGCCTCAGTGAAGGAGCTGACCAAGGCTGAGTGTGGACACAGTGTCACTGCAGACCATTGAGATGAACGAGAAAGGGCAGACTAGGAAGAATTAACCACTGAAAGGATGACAGAAAAAGGTGAAAGCATTTATTACCAAGTTTCTCATCAATACATTTACAAGTGTAGCAGCAAATCATCCTGAGTTTTGCCATAGCTACAGATGTGTCAGGCTTTCCCCTAGACACCATGTGTCCCTTTAAGGATGAGGAGCCAGTGTGGGATGGAGGGAATGATAAGCTGGGTGTGGGGACACTCCCAGGACCCCAGGAGCCCCTCCTCCATATGAAGGACACAGATTGGAGCCCCCTATGGGTCCTGAGGGACACAGCCTGACTCAGGGAGCACTTTCCTTCATGAGGTGCTTTCACCTCTGAGAGACACCCTGCTGCAGGCGGACCTTGGCCTCTTCACGTCTGCTGTCCCCAAATTCCAGGTGTATAGTCACCTGGAGAGATGAACATATTCTAGACTCAGCCTAAATCCTTCCTGCAAATAATGGGGAAGTTTTCTTATGAGACATGCATTCTTCTTGCTCATATGTTGAGTAGTTTAAGAAAATATCAGCTATAATAAAAAGTGAGATACCTGGAGTAATTTTCCAATAATTCTCTTGAGTTAAGCTTCTTTGATTTGCTAGAATGAAAACATCAATTTAGGTGACATTCTCTCTCTCTCTCTCTCTGGCAGGCACAGCACTGTGTAACCCAGGACCAGAAGCAGGGTTAGAAGGTGGCAGAATTAATGGGATGACCCACCAGCTGCGCCCCGATGGCAGAAGGAAAAGGCAGTGCCAGTGCCTCCCCCTACGTATACTCTCAGGGTCCTGGAAGCAAACTCCTGCAGTGAGTGAGGACGTGACAGGAGGATCCAGGCCATGGCAGGGAAGCCCCAGAGCTCTGCTAGCTGAGGCCTAATTGTTGACATTGAGAGTGTCCCTGCCTAGGCGTCTCTTACCCTATGCCCAGGGACAACCGTAAGGCACATCTCTTTTCAAGGAAATTTATATTCAATGTGTGATTGTCCACCTACTTTGTCCTGTGAATCAGGCCTGGACAATGACTACATGAGAGGGGAGGTCAAGATATGAGGCATGTGTGTGAGTCAGAGCTGAGTGCTCCTGTGTCTCCTGGGGACCAGGTGCAGGACAGTCACACCTCACTGAGGACACTGCCTACCCAGCTGTGCAAAGGACACACAGAGCTCTCAGGCCCAGTCCACCAGTGTCCCCTGCTGGTCTCAGAAAGCACATCGTCCAGCTCATCTCACACCCCCAGCTGTCCTGGGAGGGCTCTGCTGTTTGCATTTGGGTCTTTCTGATGTCACCACGCAGGACAGTGGAATGAGCAGGGCCCCTCTGTGACTCTGGGGTGAGTCATTAATTTTTTCAGGTCACTAGTGACCTCCATGGAGTTACCTGAATTTCTGTGTTCCCAGATATTAAAGGATTACAAGATAGTTGAGTTTCCTTCTGTCAGGCCCCTGGGTCTGTTTCTGGTACATGACATCTCTGAGTCACTTTTGAGGTTGAAAGTTCCTCAGGGAGCCCCGTTAGTTCACAGCTGGTCATAGTTGTATATGGGTGATTCTTTCAGGTGGAGACATTTGGTGTTGTTTTAGCTGTTGTCATCATCACTGTGAGGGCTTCCTGCTGGGTCCCCAGCCCCAGGGCCAGGCTTTGGCTTTCTTTTCCTGCCTTTGCAGTGAGAACACAGCCCTGGGAGGAGCTCACGCCTTGGATTCGTGGTTCCTCCTGCTGGTTCTCACTTACCCTTGACTCTGATGCTGGCAACACCTCTGACTTTGGACAAATTTAAGATAATTTTGTCTAATTTTATAAATATTATCAGAACAAGGATTGATAAAAAAATATTATTATGAATGGCAGTCCACTCTTTTATAGAGGTCTTTTTCTATAATGTGATTTAGAAACCCTCATTTCTTATTCTCCAGTCCCCATTAACCCTAACCTAGGTACTGCCGACAGTATTTTGTATTGATTTTCGGTACACAGCAGAGTAGTTAGACAATCAGATCCTTTACAAAGTGTTTCTCTTGATGTTCCCTGTCCCCTGGGGCTACGCCCCCCATGGGGCAGCATTTTGACCACACTCCCCATTTTGTGCTTCATATCCCCGTGACCCTCTGTTCTTAGGGTGCCTTGGGGGTGTGGTCCCCACAGGTGTCTTCTTCCTCTCTGAACCCCAGGCTGCTCTGCTCCCTCTTGTGGACACATTGCTTTTGGTGCAACAGGGAGACCAGTAGGTGAGGGAGTGAGTGAGGAGCAAGATGCACCACACTGATTTCTTCAAACCAGATGAGGGCATTTCAGGACAGTGCCTCAGGGTCTGGAGGGAGTGTGGCCTCCTGAAGCCATGTGACCAGCAGAGAGTCCACCCCCTGGAACCCTGCCCTGGGAGGAGGCAGTGGGGGTGGCAGGGGATGTTAATGAGCAGGTGTGGAGGCAGATAAGAGGGACGGGATGGCCTCCCCTGCACAGACAGAATCCTGTGTTTATGCTGCTCTCCCGCTTTCCCATTGACCCTTATTTCCCTGTCCCCAGAGCCAGGGCAGCCACAAGGGTCCTGACCCACAATGACACCTCTAGCATCTTGCCTGCGCTGAGCATCAGTACTGAGTCTCCTGCCCGCCCTGTCCAGCGGCTGCTCATGCTGCCCCCTCTCGCCTGTAGTGTCAGAAGTAGCTCTGTGTTTTAAGTGGGGACAAGCTGCCCCTGCAGTGGGGAAGTGCACCCCAAAGGCCTCCATGTGCCCCAGGACACACGGCCCGAGCCTGAGCACAGTAACTCAACAGCTGGTAGCCAGATGCTCTCCCCGTGAAACAGTGACAGTTCAGGTGAATCCCAGTGAGGGGGAATGAAGGGCAGCGATCGTCCTGCGAGTCCCTGTGCTGTCCCATGAGGAGCGTGTTCCTGCGATACCTGTGAAGGGGGCTGTCCACCCTTTGGTGTCTTGGGGCCACACTGGAAGGAGAGGACTTATCTAGGGCCACACATAAATACACAAACACTAACGACAACTGATCAGCAAAAAAGGGTCCGTGCATACTTTTGTTGACATGTGCCACAGCTGATAAGAAAAACTGTTCTCACGTTGTAATCCTATTATGTACTGGCTCTTTCACTAATTTTCTGAAATCGTCTAGCAATGGTAACTGAAGCCACGCATGTGTATGAAGCAAGAGTGAACATAATAACCACGAAATTTCCTAATGTTCTAAGTTAATTTATGATTTTTTATTGCGTCTCATTCATAGCCGTCCTGGGGTGCATTTGGCCCTTAAGCCAAGGTTTGGACCCTCCTTGTCTATATATTTAATAACGTCCTCCTGTTGGTCCTTATCACCTCCTCACAGCAGGCTGAAATTCTGACTGTTAAATTCCTTTTCTTACACATCCAGTTGAGGTGAAAACAACAAGAACAATTTATTTGCAGCCATTTGGAGCCCAACTGCGTTGCACACCCTGTCACCTGTGATCCCCACCCACTCACCACTGACAAGGCCAGCCCTGGGGGAACCATGTACTCGACAGAGTTGATGACCTGGCAGTTCTCTGACCCTGGGACCCCCACTGAGCTGCTGAGTGACATCTCCAGAGCACTCATTCTCCTCTCCTTCCCCCTTCCCAGGAAGTCCCTGGGCTCTCCACACCTGGGTGACAGTGTCTGGAAGAGCTCTTGAACTGAGGGTTGGTCCTCACACAACCTGTCCAAATGCAGCCCAAACAAGCTCCCACTGGGCCTCGACCAGGGTGGGCTCACACCTTCTCACTGTCCCCTGACAGCTTCTGTCTCAGTCCCCACACAGGGCAGCCCACACTCCAGGCAGGGATCACACAAGGGTATGAGCACCAGGAGGTGGGGTGCAGGCTATCTGGGTGGTTGTCTGCCTTCTGACATCCAGAGGTTCACGCCTCTCACTCACCACACACACTTTCTAGAGCTTCTGTTCAGCTTTGCACACACAGGAAGGAGCAGAGCTGTGGCTGAACCAGGAGTTTATGTCTCACTTCCCCCCTGCATGTGTCACTGTGGTGATGGCTGCTGTACCACAGAACACAGTAGTACTCGGCCTCGTCCTCGGGCTGGGCCCCTGACAGGGACAGGGCAGCTTTGCCCCCGAGGAGGGAGCCTGAGAACCGGGCAGGGGTCCAGGAGTATTTACTGCTTGTATCATAAATCAGTGTGGTGGGGACTTGGCCAGACTTCTGCTGGATCCAGTATGGATAGTTACTGCTGGTGACGGCTCCAGTGCTGGAGGCACAGGTGAGAGGGACTGTCCCTCCTGGGGACGCAGTCAGGGAGGGCTCCTGAGTCACCACAGCCTGAGACCTGGACCCTGAAAGAAAAACAGTCACATGTCAGGAATGAAGAGTAAAGGCAGAAGGACCCTCCCAAAGACTGGTCTCTGAAGTGTCCCTGGACCTGGGCAGAGGGTGAGGAGGGGGAGCAGGATCAGAGTCCAGGCCATGGTGGACACTTCCCAAATCCCCTGGCCTGAGGCTGGCACTGCTCTCTGGCTGTCCCTTTATCTCCTCCTCAGCTCCCTGGGTGAGGGGTGTGTTTGCTGGGCATTATGCAAATAGGAGCCCAGAGCACCATCCAGTTCTGGGTCCAGGGCCCAGTTTATAGTTCTACTCTCAGGAGGAGGCTGGCTTCGTTGTGAGCTCTGAGTCTCCCCCTTGAGAGGAAGCACCTGCTGTCTCCTCTCACTGAGGCCATGGATGTGGGCATGGGGCCCATTGAATTAGAATCATTTGGGTTGGTTTCAGGCCTTGCAGCTCTGAGAAGACCCACAGCGCCCCCTGGTGACATCCTGCACAGATGACTCATGGTGGTGGGAGCTGTGCAGTAGCAGTTGTACCCTACTGCACAGCAATCAATCTATAAACATACAACAAACAAATAAAATAATTGATAAGCTTTATGTATCCTTGATTCCTTCATTGGTTTATAAAACTTCACCTTTGGTATTTTTTAGTTCTACATTTCCATTTGGCATCTTTATCATGTCTCCTTCTATTTGAGTTACTGTCCTTTTTCATTTTTTCCAAGAATGTCTGTAGTTGCTGGTTACATGGATTTTTGGACTATTGTTGAAGAAATCTGTCACACAATTTAATTATCTGAGTCATTCTGTGTTGGTTTCAGAAGACTTTCTTGATTTCCTCAAGTTTTCATTTTCCTGGTTCTGGATGTGACCAGTGTTATTTCCTCCCATTTCCAGGACATTGGAAGACTGCATTAGGGGCCCCTGTGTCCCATTTCCTCTGCCTTTCACCAGGCCACCTGCCTGCTGAGCTGCAGCACAGAGGTCAGGGGGTAGATGTTCAGCTCCCACTGGCCCAGCAGAGGTGGAGCACTGACTCCCCTGCTTTGACACCTTCCTGGGGAAAATAGTGCAGTGACTGTCACCAGTTGGTCCCTTCAAGTTAGGGTGAGTGTCGAGCCCACAGCCAGGCCCTGTGGACTCAGGGAGGGAAGCACAGGGAGGAGCGGAGCTGCTGTGCTCAGCCGGCTGGCCGCTCAACTCCCCACTGGGTCCCTCCAGGGCAGCACTGACACAAGAGGGTTGGGGGCCCCTGCATGGCCCACTCGTCTGCCTCCCATTCCTTACTCAGAGCTCTGAATGCCACTGGGTGGTCAAGGCTTAGCTCCTCACTGGCTCCCACAGCTACAAGCCAGGGGCACAGGAGTGCAGACTAGCTGTGGTCTGTACTCCCTCATCCAGTCTCATTGCTGAGGGGTGAGTTGAAGTTCAGGTCCCCACTGGGCAGCCAGAGTCATGGGTGGGAGAACTGGAATGCTAACCAGCTTCCACTGGCCCTACCTGGCTGAGGCTTGTTGACTCTCTAATGGGAGGAAGTCCCCTTCCACTGAATCACCCACACTGTCCCAGGTGACAAAGGGACACTGCCAGCTTGTGCTGGGAGGGAATGCAGGCCAACACCCTGGCCCTTATAGTTCACACCCTGGATGGGGATGCAGTTCAGGGGTTCTATAGTGTGGAAGGGTATGGGGCATGTGTAGCCCCAAAGATTTTCTCTGGCTAGGCATCTGGTTCCCAGATTCTTTGGCTAGAGAGAAAGGGTCTTCTAGGAGCCTCTATCTATCTATCTATCTATCTATCTATCTATCTATCTACATATCTATCTATCTACTATTTAGTTTGTATCTTAGTTGTTTGAAACCTTGAGGTCTCTGCACCTATCTTCTGTGTCTACAGGGAGGTAATGAGGACCCAAGGACTCCAAACCACTCTGTTCCCCAGTTTGAGAATGGAGGAAGTCTGCCTTGTTGTTTTCACATTGGAAGTCTACTTCTGCTTTGATTGACTAGGTCCAGTGTATGTAAGATTTCCTTGGCCCCACAGACCAGAGAAGGAGACTGGCCACATCATTTCATCAGGAGCTCATTAAAAGAAGTCACAATCAAGGTGGGTTTTGGGAAGAGACAGGACCCCTTGGATTTGCTCTGTGCCTTCCACTGCCACACCCAGACTGCATGCTGTGTCTTTGATCCAGTGAGCCTACTTGCTGGGAAAGGATTCTGTCTTTAATCTAGGGTGGGGCACCTCGGGCTCTGTCACTAGAGCTGGTGTAGAGACAGATAAAGACAAGGGAGGAACACAAAGTCTTTGTGTCTACTGGGGGCGGGGGGTGGGAAGATACTGCAAAAGTCAAAAGGGCATGTTGGCTTCCAGATGGAGTTACTTTGGCTGCACAGCCAGGAGCTTATACTTGAAGAGACTGTGGGAACAATGGGGCTCTTGACAGGGATTGAGTCCTGAAATTGTCATGTAATAGAATCCTAATGGTTTATTTCAGCCCTTGGATGAATGAGAGGCTGTGCTTTTCTGGTTCTGCAGAGATTATGTATATAGAAATAAGTGGCTAGGAAACATGATTAATACTTTCATTTCTTTTCCTTAGCATAGATAAACATGAATATAGAACACCTGGTCGTGGTTTGCATGTGAAAGGCTGCCTGTCTGCTCAGGAGTTTCGCCCTGTACCAGGCATTGGCCTTGGACTTTACCCTCCCAGGAGAAAAGGGAGTATATTTTCATTACCGTGTCAGTTATTTGAAACTTTTAATTTTGTAATAATTTTGCACTTATAGACAAAATGTCAGTAAGAGAACCACTTTTCCATAACTATCACTTATATTTTCTCTAACATTACAGTTTTCAAAAACTAGTGCCATTTTTACAAACTGAGATGCTAACATTGGTAAGAAAACATTTAGTAAACTGCAGGTTGGATTTAAATTTCATAAAATACCCAATAGATTCTTTTTAGATTCTTAGAACCAGTCCAGGAATCCATATGCCATAAGTGCTACAGAAAACAATCACAGATAAATATATATATTTCCAACATGCTAGATATGAAGCTTTTTTCTTTAAAATTGATTTTGTGTTGACTTGAAATAAAATTTTATCTAAGATTTTTAAACAAAGGTAAGTACAGTAAATAAAAGGACCATTTCACTCTCTGCTTTTCCCCTCACAGTCCAGTGCCAGGCGCCCTGGGGAACCGGGTGTGGAGACACCGCCTGCAGCCCCTCCCCTGTCCCTGTGCCAGGGGAGGGGGCCCAGGGCTGGGAGGAGTGTTTCTGGAAGCCACTTCTAAACAGGAGTCTTCTCAGAGCATCAGTATTCATGTAAGCCCTGGAAATCCTCTCAACTTGTGGTTGTAGTTTTCATTTTAAAAACCAGGGAAAAGAGAAATCAGCTCATACTTTTCATCGATGACCTGAGATTTTAAACCAGTTCCTGAAGGTTCCACATTTATGAAGGTTCGTTTAGGAGAGATGGTGACCAGGAATTTAACTGGATTAAATTTTACCAAAAAGTGTTCAAAAAAATTTTATAATAAAAGTACAGGTATATTTAAAACTGTAGTGTTCTTAAAATACTTTAGGAGAGAGCTTGTTAAAACACTGATTTGCTCACAAACACACCGTTGTGACTTAGCAGCCTAGTCAGGGGACCAGCATCACCTACAAGCTCCCAGTGACACTCTCATTTAAATGCCTATAAAACATTGCCTTTGCCCACAGGCTCAGTCACAACATGACCACAACTTGATAAAGCTTCTAGAACACAGGGAGGATTACAAGGCTAGGTGTGGTCTCTGAGTCTCTGATGGTTAATGTGTCTGCACTCAGCCCTCCTCCCGTCATGGTTCTAGGGACAGGGGAAGAGAGGAAGCCCATTGTGCCAGGGTCACATGGGACACATGGGCACACCCTGGGGGAGACTGGAGGAGGCATGTAGACAGGAGCCACTGGACCTGGCAATGGGGCCCTGGAGCCTCTCTCCTTGGCGTCCTGACCATTTCCACCCTCTTTCTTTCCTTCTGTCACTAAAGCTGAGCCATTCTGAGCACAAGAGGAGGTTTAGGTTGCACTTCCCCGTGGGGTTACATCACTGTGTAAATGGCACTACTCGTGGACAGAGCACAGTAATAGTCGGCCTCGTCTTCAGGCTGGGCCCCTGTGATGGTGAGGACAGCTTTGTTCCCAGAGATGGATCCAGAGAAGCGCTCAGGGACCCCAGAGGGCCGGCTGTTTGTTTGGTAGATGAGCATGCGGGGAGCCTTGCCTGGGGTCTGCTGGTACCAGCCGGGGTAGTTACTACTAGAGACTGACCCAGAACTAAGGCCACAGGTGAGTGTGACTGTCCCTCCTGGAGTCACAGACAGTGACGGCTCCTGGGTCACCACAGTCTGAGAATCCACACCTAAAACCAACACAAAATACATGGGTGTTGTTATGAGAGACAAGATCACCCCAAGATGCTGCTTTGTGGTATCCCCCAAGAATACAGAGTCCCTTCCTCTGACCTGAGCTGTAAGTGAGGAGCCCGAGCAGGAGCACCATCCAGGCCATGGTGGGGACACTCACAGGACACGGCTTCCTCAGACTCCTGAGGTAGAAGGAGGTGTCCTTGGGGCCTTTTCTTGCCTCCCAGACCCTTTAGGAGTAGGAGATGCTTCATGCAAATCAGCTTCCTCTCTTGGTACCAGAGTGTCATCCTGATGTCCCCTGGGGTGATGTGGAAAGAGCAGATGCTAGGACCTTGCACAGACCAGTGAAGATAGAGCTACTGAGGCACTGAAGGAACAGAGTCCCCCTCTGTCACCAAATCAGGGAGTGAGGAGGGTGAGGAGCAGAGGGACCTGGGCACTGATGGGGAAGCCCCAGCGCTCTGCCTGCTCAGGCCTGGTTGTATCAACTGAGACTCTCCCATCTCCAAGGGTCTTTTGTCTTGTGCCCCCCAAGACTCATGGGCTGAGTTTGCTCATGCAGATTTGCTTTTGTTGTGTGTCTGTCCACCCGAAACTGTCTGTTTGCACACCAGGTGGGATCAACTCCTGAAAGGGATTATGAATGTGAATCAAGGGTGTGAGTCAGATCTCAGGGCTCATGTAGCTCCTGGGGACGCAGGTGATGGCAAGTGACACACAATTAGGA